CCCCCCCCCCCCCCCCCGCAGCTCTCTCATTTACTGCTGAGGAGGAGAAAGGGGCCTGAGAGATGTCTGGGGTGTGGTCATCTGGGAAGGGAGGGTGGAGCGTCAGAAAGGAGAATGATTTTTGGTTGTTGTTGTTGTTACTCTTTAAAAGGACGACAGCATATGGACTCCAGGAAAATCACTTGCTCTTACGCAGGGAAGTGTTCATGTTAGTACTTATGCATTGTCTACAGTCTGCTGACTGTAACTGCTTGCCTGGGGATGCATGAACTAACTGGATGTATCTGTGTGCCATCATGGGTATCAATGAACGGAGAAAAGCTTATGTGCTACGTTTACTCATGTGGCACAGCAGGGGCTCCATCGTATTTAGTCCCAGTTGGCTTGTTCAAAGGACAAAATCACTGTTGCTATTTTCAAACAAAAGACAACTCTTAAATTGTACAACAAATGCTGAAAGCATCACCGCCATTAGGGCACGCACTTGATTCTACTAATAAGATCTCCTCCAAAAGCTTTGTAATCCATTTTCTTGTTGTTGTCCTTAAAAATGAATGCGCACCCTCTGGATCCGAAGTTAGAAGTGCATTACATTGGGACTGTGATTCCTGTAGGATCTGAGATAAACTTCCCGGTAAATATTCATTATAGTTCAGTCTCTACAAATAACCGGTTTTAATTCACGGAAATTGATCTCAGTTCACTTATGTGTTCACAGTAAATATATAGGTAAGCCCTGTACTCTTCTTTATTGGAACAAGAGCCTCGAGAGGCAGCTTTTCTGGGCTTTCTCTGTGGGAAAAGAATGTTTGTACCTCTTGACATTCTCAAGACCCCACATCCTTGAAGCACAAGATTCTGCCACACAAACACACAATGGTAATCCCTTATGTAACAAGTCATTGCTAGGTAGCTGGGGACATGAACGATGAAAGAAGCCAAACACTAAAATGCTACTCGCAGAAAATGAAGAGTTTTCAGGGAAAACGAATAATAAACTCTGGAGGCAAGAGAATAGTTAAATGGCATACAGGTCTTGCCGAAGATCGAAAACATCAAATCAAATAGTTACAATACAGAGAAGCCCACAAGGTCCCAGACCTAGAATTTGTCACCTTGCAGTACTTACAGGCACCCACTTCCTGAAGGCTCTGTGATGAGAGATGGAGCCCACCAGAGACAAATTAGATGTGGGCAGAAGAACACCGACTCCTAGGTGATTTGCCCAAGGGAAGGGGGAGAGAAACGCCACTGGGCTGCTTTCTCTGCCCTTAGTTGAACTGAAGGGTGCACAAGTAGAGGTTTGAGCAGAGGCATAGATGTTAGGGGCGCTGTCACGCACAAGCTGATCAGCAGAAGCTAAGCCTCAGCATCCAGTTGAGTCTATTTGAACTCATTCCTACCACTAAAAACGACAATTAGTGACTTTGGCATGGGACAAACAAGGCCTGGTCTGGGGTGGGTCCTTGAGAACTAAAACCTGTCTGGAGCCCAGACACCATGTCTCATTTCCTTTCCTCACAGGGGGACTATTTCCAAACCAGCAGTCACAGGAACATGCTGCTTTTAGATTTGCTTTGTCGCAACTCACGGAGCCCCCAAAGCTGCTCCCCCAGATTGATATTGTGAACATCAGCGACAGCTTTGAGATGACCTATAGATGTAAGTAATTGCTTCTATTTCTGAGATTTCTTTCTCGCTAGCCCAGCGAAAAGAGGGCCTGTGGGTAGGTGGTAGTGCTGCAAAAATGACTTGAGTTGTCATTTGTCTTCATAAGAGAAAGCCCTCCAAGAAACATTTGCAGAGCTTTTTGAGTGATTCCAGCAGTTGGTATTTAGATCCTGCTATGCTTCATGGAATGTGTTTGCTTTTTCACTGTCAGCTAACTTTAAATGCCAGGCTGATGGGTACTCGGGTGGACTGTCTCTCCTCCACCTTACTGAGGTTTTCTAGTTCAGCTGAGAGATCTTCACACATTGAAAACTTCTGACAGGTACAGCATGAAAGGTTCTGAGTTTAGCAGAATGTGTTTAAAATTCTTAAGCCATTTCAGTCTAAAAGGTAAAAGGAGAAAAATATTCTGATAGCCAGACCAAAAAAAGAAAAAGAAAAAGGTAGATGAGAAGTTGGATACCTGGCTTCCTACTTTTGCAAGTGACCAATAATTGCTAAAAGTGGTGCCCCAATTATTTCCAAAATGGCTCGAAGTGGCAGATTCATTAAAACATGTTTAATGAATTGTTTCAGACAAAAAAAAAAGTCTGAAAAGTTTACGCAGTTTATAAGACAGCCTTTAGGCAGAAAGGAGAACAGAAGTGACTTCACGAAAAACTGATGTATCAGTGCTATCAAAACCGAATACATTATAAAATGTGAGCAACAAACGCTATTCTGAGTTTTGCTGGCAACTAAGACTGAAAAGGAAATTCATGTTGCTGGCTGCATGATTGCTACTTTATGTCAGATGAAAGTATAAGAATTAATCAGTAGAGACATTTGCCCTCCTTGAATTAAGCTCACCTAGGAATTCACAGCAGGAAAGGGTAAGCAGAGGGGGCAAGAAAGAACAGGTGGGGAATCAAAACTAGGTTGAATTGGCACCACTGGTTTAGATTGCTACTATTGGCATGGGGACTCCGGCTGGGCTGTGGATGGTTGAAGGCACAGGCCAGGTCTTTCATCTCCTTCCTACATTCCCCACATTGCGGGATCAAAGATCTGAACTGACTAGGCTTTGAAGTCTCAAAATGAGAATTCAGAATTCTCCTTATTCCTAGGACTGCTCATAAGATGATGACATGAATGCAAGAATTACAATTATGCCAGATTGCATTTATTCGGGACTTACTATGCATCAAGAACCATGATAAGCATTTTATAGACATTTACAGCAGCATTCATTACCATTTATTAAACATTGGCCACAGTCCATGAAATGCACTAATTGCTTTTCATATGTTAGCTCCCTGAATCCTGACAGGAACGTTATGGCGAACTCTATGAAACCTCAATTTACACCTGAGGAAACTGAGGCAGCAACAGGTTATGTAACTTACAAGGTCACTTGGGAAATAAATGGTGCTCTGGTGACCTCAAGGTGCACGTTCCTGGGCACTGTGATAGGTACAGTCATCTTTATAGCAACTTAATCAGCTATTGTGTGGTTATCAAGAAGTGAAAGGGAATATTTGAGGTCTTGTAAAACAGTGGCCTGAAAAAGCAACTAAGAAGCACTGATAGATTTTCAAACCATAGTGGTAATTTTGCATAGGAATAGGCCATTGAAAAACAAAACAGAAATGCCACATTTTGGTAATGCTAAGATTAAAAATCTACTCCAATGAGTTAGTTGTTCACTACCCTTTAAAAAGTGCTAAAGTTTAACTGTTGAATATAGTTTCTGAAGCCATCCTCCTGAAAACCCAGAATAATATAGAGTAGGTATGTAACTATCGGATAACCTCCCATTCCTTTTTGTATGCCTCAGACTAGGGTCTCTGGAGATGGGATTATGTATAATCTTTTGCATATGCATAGAAGTATTAGTATATTTCCTGGAGAGAGTATCCGTAACTTTTTCAGTATTCTCAGAGGGGTTCATTACTCAAGGCTTGGTTGCTCGGAATCAAGAAGAACAAATGGCTAGCTTGTGTATTCACGGAGACATGTCTACAGCAGAGGCTGATGGAGAGAGATGTTAACTGCTTTCCAAGTGTCAAGATGTTGACTGGCAGGAAAAGATAATAAAACACAAAAGTAGAAGGAAATGTTCAAAGGCAAAATGTGGTGTTTGTAAACCATCATCTTCACAACCTATGACCCGATCCCTAACGGTCTCTTTAGCTATTCATTAGGGAGGTAGCAGTATGGCACGGTCATTGTTATCCATTACAGTCAGTGGATCTGGAATAGATGGACTGGGTTCTTGAACTTAACGCCTGTCGTATCCTAGGGTACAGCTTTCCAGGCATGCCTTCCTTGTTCATTTGGCTATTCTGTAACTGTTTCTTCAAAGCTGTGAACTGAGAGGGACTTTGGAAATGCAGAGGTGATAAAATGCTCTGGCTCTCAAGGAGCCTGCCATCCAGTGGGTGACACTTGGCATAGGGATTTTCTAAGAAGCGGTCAGGTTATTTTATGCTTAGGCTTTTAGTTTCTTGGGTAAAGGGGCTGAAGCAGTTATGGTGTAATTCCTGGCCTCCCCTGAGTAGTCTTCGTTAGCACTCATGTAAAATTAGGGATCCCTCTCTGAGTACATGCGCTGTGGTCCACGGGGGTGGGAAGACTGCACATCTGCTCTGATTCCAACTGAACAAGAACAGCAAAGGGAGTGCAGTGGTCTGGGGCAGAATGGGTTAAATAATCACGTATGGAAAACCAAATAAAGTATGCTTTTCAAATGCAATTTTGCATACTTTTAAAAAATAAGGATTGGTAATTAGCTTAAATTAACTACATCGGTCTCCAGAAAATGCCAAATATTTGTGTTTATTCCCTAATTTTTGCTGTCATTTGATTTCCCCCACCCCCGTGTATTTTGCTATTCGTTATCCTTCCACCAGAGGGTGGAGAAGGGAAGAGAGATGAAGTGTAACAGGAATAGTTCCTAGTTGCTGTTTCACAACCAGGGATTTGAAAATGAAGGTGAAGGTTACAGGGTAAAGATGTAGGAAAGATGGAAGAAAAGCTTTACTAGTATCACTAGCCAAGGGGATGGTTTGTTGTATGTTTTGCATTCAACCCTTCGGGCTCTTTTTGTCCGCCATCATTAAGGGGTAAAGTTGAACCTCCCACCCAGATGTCTTGGGATATCCTCTGAACACTCTTCTAAGCTACGAGGGCAGGGGTGGGGGAAGGTGTCCATAGAGAAGGTTATTTCCTGGCCAGATTATTCCGTCTATCTTGGTGCCTCCATGGTAGGTACAAAGAAAGAAATGAATGAAGTTCTGATTGGAGTCCCAACATCGAGTCTGTGAATTGTGGCAACTTAGGCCTTACTTTTCACTCATGAGTCTCCTTCCTCATCTGCTCATCCATTCGCTCCCTCCCTCACTCAGCAGATACAGGCTGAACATCTACACCGAGCACTGTGCCAGATGCTGGGAATGAAAGAGCTCACGCCATGTAGCCTCTTTCCTAGCGAGGCCTGGAGTTTAGCTCAGAGGTCTTTAAAATGAATTGTATGTACCCAGGGAGCTTGTTTAAAGCAAGACTCAGAGGTAGACTCACTACTGCCTCGATCAAAATATTCAAGAGCAGGCCCCAAAAGGATTTTGTAGTAAATGGTATGGGCATCACACTTTAGGAAACCCTTTTATCTAAAAGTCTTCCTTTTGTTTAGTAAGCATTTTTGAGCCCTTATCCAAACCCAGGGATGATGTTAAGTATGAGAAAAGCAGGCAAAACAGCTGCATTTCCTGCCCTAGTGAGATAGACTGTCCTATAAAGAGAAAATGCAAACATAAGGCTGTGAGTACTATTGCAGCAATTCGTATGGTGTGTTAGGGACGTTAAGGCACAGAACTGGCCTTTCAGATGGAATAGGGAATTGAGTTGTAATGCCAATCAGAAGTTTCCCAGGAAATAAAGTCAGGGCAGCAAAGGAGAAGAGGCAAGCGCCCTGTGGGCAGAGAGAATGGCTCGTGCAAGAAGAATACTTCCCCTTGTTTTGGCCCAGCCTTGACCCCCAGTGGGCTTCGCACTTGGCATTTCTCGTGTGCTGTAGAAAAGGTCGCCACATGGCCACCCACAAGCCAGTTTAGCACAGGGATGGATGCTTTGGGTCTACACTGTGCATAAGAAGTTTGGAATTTCGTATCCAAACTAGGACACGCCGTTTGGGCCTCAGGTCCACACAGCCTCAGTTTGCTGGTCTGCACAGGCCGAGCCCCACCTGCACGGCCCACTTCCCATGTAGCTCACTTATCTCATTTTCTCTACCACCTGCTGGCCCCCAGAAGCACTGAGTTTGCCCTGGGTGACTTGTCCCACTTGGTGCTTGTGTGTCTTTATAGATTTGTTCTGCCTACTGTCGATTCAGCAAGACCGTGAATATCTACGGTTTGGTGTCACATAGCACACCTGGAAATGGCCCCTCAGACAAATAAACAAGTGTCTCCAGGAGTCAGGTGATCCCGCAGCATCCCTTGGTACATGGGACAGACTCTGTCATGGACCTCCTTAAGCAGCTCAGGGGAATTCTAATGGGTCTTGAGGCCCTGGCCAGAGACAGAGGGCTTCTTGGCGCATCGTTTTCAGAGTTGCAGACTAACAGCCCATAGACTTGTTTTGTTGGACCTGTGCAATCCTTTTTAAAATGCGGCACAAAAATCCAGATTTGTGGCTTCTACCTATGGCATTAAGCAACCCTGGGCCCACACTGCTATTCAGTTTGTATTATCTAAAACCTAGAAGTGCTCCTCTCTTTTAATATAAGGCATACAAGTTTACTAAAGTCATCACTTCACTACTTCCTACGATATGCATGGCCACTGTCACTGGATCAATAGGCTAATCTGCTCACACCTGAGTTCTATCTTTTACCATCCAGTATTTTCTTAATTCATTTCAGCATTCCCTCTGTAACAAATAGCACAGGACACAAAAGAATATGGATTCTTGTTCTTTAAAAAAAACTAGTCTAAATACAGCAACAAAGAGAA